ACCTTAGGCCTTATAAGACCTATAGCCCACTACAAGTTTTTTTCTTTTCGAATTCATATTCTTGTTCCTTTTTTTTGCCAAATTTTTCTTAAAAAACATAAATTAATTAGAGAACAGCAAAATTTGTTTAAATGTATACATAGTTGTCCACAACCACAAATTTTGATTAACTTAATTATGACTGATTAGGCCTTTAACAAAGATGGCTGGTCCTTTCATAAGGCTGGGAAATTAGAGGCTTTGGGCCTCCCAATATTATTGCTTATTTTGAAAATGTTGATAGTGTTGCAAAATTTGTTGAGTGTTTCAATGGAAAATTTTGATAACATAGAGTGGTATGTTGGAAGTAGGATTGAGCAAGTCACGGACATGATATAAATGTTGAGAAAGACTGGTTTGAGCGAGACACCGTGGGACTTAGAGAACTTGTTGTGACTCGTGAGCCCTTGAGATGCATGGGCCGTGGTCTATACACAACATTATGTATATCTGATCAAAAGCTCAAAGTATCAGAAAGCAGACTCAATCTCACTAGCTAATAGTATTAAACATTTGTGTCAGGACGTAAAAAGATGAGCAAAGAAATGGAACCTCAATGAATTTGACCAGATATGTATAATACTTTGAGAGGATAGATCCAGTGGAAGCACTCAAATGTTCAAAAAGATAGATCCAGACAGAAATGAACTCGGTTTGTTTTCCCTTCTCTTCATTTATGGTGAGAAAGAGTGGTTTGAGCGAGAGCAAAACAAGTAGGATTGAGCAATAAGTCACGGACTTGTATATCAAGAACTTGGATTACGACATAAATGAAGAGAAGAGAAAACGATGGAATTGTTCTCTTTTTCTTTCTTATTTTATACGTTTAAAATTTCAGTAAATTATTGGAAAAAAAAATCATTCAATAATTTATGTAGAAGTGAAAAAATATATATCATTTCTATAGGCCAGAATTATAATTTCGAAAATCTCAAAAATCTAGATCCGTTTTGCGATCATCCATCCCATCCATCCATCTCAAAAAGAAGTTTTTGGGTTCGAACATTAACTTGATATGAACCAAATCATTCGATATTTCTCATTCAGAAGTGAAATCATATCCACTTTTTTTAACTCACGTCTAGATTATTTTTCCATCAAAATCAGTTTCACTCAAATGAAATTGAGCCAACATTAATATTCTTAATGTAAAACATGCATGTTTCAAAACTCGAACTATTTATCGACAACACTCACCGTTCCATTTCTTGGCTTAAACCAATGTTGAAGTATATAGGATCAAAATTAAATGCGCTAATTGATTAAAAAAGAAAAGGTGCAAATTCATGTCACTCAAAATTATAAAAAAATCTTTAAATACAATACATTTACGAACTATATATAGATTTGCGGACGTTTTTCTAGGTTCGCACTCGAATTTTTTACTCCACCACACTCTCTTGTTTGGGGCTATGGTCTAACGGAATCTGATCATTGTTTTTCTTGAATTTTTTTTGTAAGCATAGTGATGTACATTTTTAAGCATGACAGTTTGCTTAGAAGAATATAGCCCACGAAGGTCGTTTTGGGCCAACCCACATATACAAGCAGCTGAGTGGCGAGGCCCGTTTTGAAAGATCTCCTAACACAATTTTTTTTGCTAAACGATCTCCTAACACAATTTATTTTGGACTTATTTACACGTGAGAACCGAGAAACAATGAATTATTGAAAATTAATACTATATTGTCCCATTACTAAATGAATAAAGTTCTTTCACTTATTTCTAAATTTTCAATCTCGGTTCCCTCCAAGATTAATAAGAAATGGAACCCTATACCCCACGCCCACGGGCACCAATTCATAATGCATGGCAAACAATCATTTGATAATATGATTACCGGAAAAGATAGATTTTTAATATTCCGTATTCTGATTATTAATTAAATCAATATGGTGCTTGAAAGGTGTTTGTTTGATAAAATATAATCCAAACATATAAAAATTTATTTTCAAAAAAAACATATAAAAATTTATACATTTCGTTATTTATAGATATTATGGTAATATGTTTGAATTTTAGAATCTAATTATCTCAGTCTACTAAAAATAATATTTACTTTTATCTTGTATCAAAATTTGAAAAAAGATTTAATTAGATGAAACTCATGAAATAAACTAAAAAGGTTATATACATATCTTGTTTGGGGGGGGGGGGGAGTCCATTTTCTGGCAATAGAAAATTTGATATAAAGGTTGATTCCGACAAAGAGAGACTACAGAGACTTCGGGAACTTCATTTTGAGTCAAATGA